GTTGCACTGACTGCCCCCCTTGCCCTCTGGATCTTCTCTGGGTGTGCTTATTCACACAAGAAGACGTAAGAGCACCTGGAGACTTCCACACGACCCAGGGCACAGAGGAGGAAGCCTCAGGGGCAGGGGAGTCTGACCTCGGACCAGCACTCAGCCGGACTTTAGGCACATCTGCAGTGACCCATTTTTTTAATAAAAGGATTCATTCTCATGTTGCTCGTGTCATCAGGCATGAGCAGAGTAGGTGCTGCGCTGTTCATCCTGACAGGCCCGTGGTGGTGGCTGTGATGTCAGCCACATCGGTGGTCACATCCACCAGAAAGTCTGCATCTGTTCCCTTCCGTCTGCCCTGTGCCTCGGTCTGGGTGGGGAGGGGTCCCTAGCTCCATTTCTCAGTTCCCAGCTCTGCACCAGAAGCCCAGCAAGCAGTGACGAGGACCCAGCTTGCCCTGCCGGGCCGAGAGCTCAGCACTATCATGGTCTTTCCTGCAGACAGGGTTCCTACGACAGAGAGGGTCCCCCTTTCCACGGTGCTTCAGCACTCACTTTTTTTACACCAATAGTTGTTTGTCAACATACCTTATGCCATTGGGCTTTCTTCTAAAGCTTCTCAGGTTACATTCTGTGCCTGTGCTGAAGTTATTTAGCCAAGCAAATCGTTTAATCAACTCTTCTTTGACTAACACCAAAGTCATTTTCAATATTCGGCTTCTCTGATCAACCATTAATAAAATGTGCTTAAGATTTGTCTTGCCATTCACCCTCCATAGTTATTTTACTTAGAAAGATATTATAGAGTATTTTAATGCACACACCAAAAAGGCAGAAATGAGGGGGAGAGAGACAGAGAGAGAAGGAGGGAGGGAGGGAGAAAGGGGGGGAGAAAAAATAAGGAGGAGAAGGAAAGAGGAGGAGAGGGCGAGAGGAGGAAGAGATGGATGGTAAGGTCCACCCTTGCTGTGGGCAGAGCAGCTATGTAGCTCACGCGCACCCTGCACTCCTCAGGCCTCAGGCGGCCGGCTGCTGAGGAAGCCCCTCAAGTACAACAATTAGACCCAAAGCGCATGACGGTAGCACAGCAGTTAGAGAGGCAGCAAAGGGTCCTGGATGGAGAGCTGTCCTTGCTGTGGCCCTGGAGGGACTGCAGGACCCCTTCGTGGGGTGGGCTCATCTGACCTCTGAGCTGGGTCACTGCGGTGACTGTGGCGAGAGGAGAGGAGAGCAGAGGCAGGAAGACCGGCACACAGTGCAGCTCTGACCCGACGCATCCCTCCCCATCACACTGGCCAGCCACGGCCATCGGCCACCACCCAGCGTCTGCTCCTGTCCCCTGCATGCCTGGCCGGAGCATAGGGGAGACTCGCATACACTGCACGGCTGGGCCACTTTGTATGGGGAGGACAAGGGTGTTATTTTGCACTGTGAGCTGGTAGCACAGAACAAAAATAGTTTAAGGAAGAGGAATTTAGTCTCCCTTCATTTTCTTTTAATTCATGTATTTGGGACAGGGTCTCACTAGGCAGCTTGGACTCAAGGCGATCCTCCTGTGTCTAGCCTCCCCTGCGCTGGGATTACAGGCCTCTGCCACCATGCCTGGACTCAGTGGCTGGCTCAGTGTGCCCAGAGAGGGGGTTGGCACAACATGTGGTACCGCAGATTGACCCCTGTCCCTGAGCTTGTCTAAGCAGGTGCTCTAGTCCACTGAGCTATTCCTTTCATTCTTATGAAACATAAAACTCCAAATTTATTGGCTTGGTTTAAAATAAGTTTTAGAAAATGTTTCAAACATTTGAAAAGGTATGCAGAGTAATAAAATGAATGCTTCCATACTTTCCACCGAGCTTTAAGTAATCTTAGCATTTTGCCATACTTGTGTCACACACACACACACACACACACACACACACACACTCACACGTGAAAGGAAATAAAATATTGCTGACCTCCTTGCAGCCATCTGAGTGTGTTTATTTCACTCCTCCCTCTCTTCTTCTTCCTCCTTGGAAGCAACTGCTGCCCAGAACTGCTCTGTTCTCTTTGGCCATATTTTCACTTTCATTTGATGTCTATGCATCCACAAACAGCATATGGAATTATTTTTGTAAAGCTTTATGTAACTCTACATAGTGAGGCCCGGTAGACCCTGTACTAAAATACATTTTAAAAAGCTTTATATAACCTCAATTGTTTTAGGTATTGTGCAACTTGATTGTTTGCCCATTGTTATGATTTTAAGCACCTCTTTGTACATAGAACTTCAGCCCATTTGTGACAGTGTCGCTCTGCACTGTGTACCAAGGTCACAGATGCCTTTCCCCTGTTAGCAGGGAGATCCCAGGCTCCTGTTGCTGGAGCGTGCGCAGGGAGCGTTCCTTTCCACCCATGCATTTCCCTAGTGGTGGAGGGCCAGGTGTGGACATGCAATCAGAAATTACACAAGGCTAATGCCTCATTATTTTCTTCAGAGGGGCTTGTCCCCACTCACATTCCTGCTAACCACGCTTTGAGTCTACCCTCCCTTCCAACCCTGGCTAACTCTGGGCACTGTCACCCTTTACCCTCTGCGCCAGTTTGGGGGGTGTGAAGTGCGGCACTAGTGCTGCTGCCCCGTGCTTCTCCCTGATGAATTTTGAAAAGGCTGTTTCCACGTGTGGCTTGCCATTTGTGCGTCTTCTTGCTTCGGCTTTGTGAGTTTACCAAAAAATGCAAAGCACCACGCGCACTTTGACCAAAGACCACGAATGTTGGGCTTGAATCCAGCCTTCCAGGCCCGTGAAGCCTGAAGGCTATTTGGGACAGGAGTGCCAGAGAAACAGCCTAAAGGGAAGAGAGCACTCACCAGACAGCTGGCTTCCTAGCAAGACAGGCGATTTCAACACGTACATATTTATGACCCAAGTAAAGGCTTCACAAAAGTGGTAATTTTTAGAGGGTTGGAGAGTTGTCAGAATGTAGGAAGAGGAAATAGAAGAGCCTAAAGAGATAAATTCTGTTCATTTCTGAACCAGAAAGGTGGGCTTTGTGACAACTCCCAGCTCTCTCTGTTGGAATCAGAACAGAGAGAGGGAATCTGAAATTTGTTTTTAGTAGTAGGAAATTTGTTTTAGAATTCAACAGTTTTTCTGCGTTAATGTGACATGGGTTTCCTTCTCCCTAGCGTCCTCTAACACCAATTTTGCGCTTAGACTCTTGTTTGCACAAGCTCTATGATAGTGGCTCTTCGTGTCTGCAAGCTGCTTACTTGGCCTCCACCCATGTGGCAGGGCAAGCTGCGCACTCTGTAGTCCCGGTGAAATCTGAGTCACAGATGCAGAGTGATGAGCAATTAGATCACAGGGCCAGCGAGGCTGAGATCAGAGTGTGATCTGGGCCGCGCTGGGGCTCCTGGGGTCCGTCCAAGAGCGTGTTCATCTTCCTCCGGAGCACTTGGCCCCCGGCTTTCTGCTCCAAGGCCAGTGGTGCCTGCCACTTACGTGCTCACACTGTGCTGATGTCACTGTGCTCCATGCTGAGCAGGGGTGTGTGCCCCCTTGGGCGCGTGGGGGTGGGCAGAGTTGGCTTTGGAGTGGCTCAGACCTTGAGTAATAAGGCAACAGTTCACCAGGCCATCTGCATGTCCCAGGGCCTCGGGGCTTCTAAAATACCTACGAGCCCAGTGCGATCTCAAACCAGTGACGTCAGAATGGGGCTGGAGGGGGAAGGTTCTTCCCTCCCTCCCTCCCTCCCTCCCTCCCTCCCTCATTGTTTTAGGGACTCTGCTCTTGTTTCCTTTGGTTGCTACTGTTGATGGTAATTGTTCTTTTTTTATTTTTTT